TATGTGTTGTTTTTATGGTTTTCAATCAGTTAAATCAGTTCAGTTCCCACCAGATGCAACTCTCCCATTGCCCCTCCTCGTCTTACTAAAAAATACTTTTTCTATGCAAGCCATATACATTTTTTATGTTAGTCAGTAGACTGTTTTTCTGTGTACAGTGGTCCCTCGTTTATCGCGGGAGTTATGTTCCAAAAATAACCTGCGATAGGTGAAATACGTGAAGTAGCCCGCTTAATTTTTTACAATTATTATAGATGTTTTAAGGCTGTAAAACCCCTCACTACACACTTTATACACTTTTCTGAGACAGGCATCGACATTTTCACACTTTTCTCTCTTGTTTAAACACTCTCAAAGTTCAAAACCTTACGTATTATAGAATAAACCAAAAATCCGTTTACTTCAAAGTTCAAACCTTCGTAGAAAAATAAGTCCAGTATTATAGAATGAAACCAAAGATCAAACCCAGTTTTCAGGTCCAGAACAAGGGAATAGAGCGAGAGAATTCAACATTAATGAATCAGTGGTATGGAAGTGGAGGAAGAAAGAAGAATGAGTTGAGTAACGTTTGACTTATCTGACTGTTTTGTTTGGCTTAATGCACCTTATAATCCGGTGCGCCTTATGGTCTGAAATATACGATAACTTCTACCTTCCTTTAGCACGTCCAGAAGTCCAACTTTTTGTGCGATTATTAGCATCTTCCTCTGGCTTATGAGGGTGCTACCACAGGTGCCTTTGATGGTGCAACATGTTTCGTCGACATTGTTGTGTTTGTTGGGGAGAAAACTCACAAGCATACAGTACAGCACTTCAGCGAAAAGTAAACCGAGCGATTTAGCAAGGGACCACTGTATATTGAAATATCAGTTTATTTCAGCATTACTTTTTTATATGGGTGTCTATGGGATAGTTATCCACAGGACGACTGCTGTTACAGTTACAGAGACGTTTTTACCAGACAGCAAGATATCAAGAAAAGTCAGCATTTTCAATTTATCCGTAGGGAAAATCCGACCTTAACTAAATCATTTACACTGAATTGCTAATGAGCAATCTAAAAAATGTCTTCAGTACCATATTAAAGTTAGGTTACACATGCATTTACAGCTACACCTATGTGTAGGTGACTTGCCAACATGAAATAGGCAACTACACAGATCTGAGTGTACTTTAATGCTGACAGTTAATTGCTGGCTGTTTGGTTCTTGGGTGCTCTTTACATTCTGATCATTTTACTTGTACTAATATCGATCTGGCAGCAATATCAGTTTTTGATCTTTGTGTATCTCTGCAGAAAAATCCCCTTCTATGTTTGGTTCCCCACTTTCCTCTATATTTATTTTTTTTCTTTCTCTCACTCCCAAAAGCTGATAATTATCTCACATTGGCATTGGAAGCTCATTAATACCTCGTCAGCATCCACAGAGAGAGCACACATCATTGATTAGATTCTCACCAAGGGTAGACTGAGATCCCCGGACTCTGTTTGTTTCCATATCCCTGGCTCGACATTAATGAGATAGTGAAAGGCAGCAGGATTTTGCTGACTCCATCCATGCTCAGAAGATGTGAACCATCCTTATAATTGCTAATTTACCCTTCCACACACCCAGCAAGTTTCTAAGATGCTGTTGAGACGCACCAGTAGGAAAAGCCTGCCCTTAATATCTCTTCAAAGCAACAGAGAAATGTTGGAGGGAGGAAGATGACATTTACTTTATGAAAAAAAGAAAACCCCAAACTGAGATCCACAAGTTAGATCAAACCAAGTATTTCAGACATGCAAACAAGAAGTACAGATTGTTTATTTTGTTTTTATCAAATATTCCTTTAGATGATAAAGGTTTGCAGTTGCAGACAGCCATAGTCAGAGACAAAAAAAATAAAGACCCATGCTTTTAAGTCAGCACAAATTCCTGCAATCCCATAATGAAAATAGTTTGACATTTAAAAAACAAAAATGGTAATATAGTGGCAAAACCAAAAGCTGTACACCACTTCTAAGTTAGCTGTTTGGAAAAAATTTAAAGAAAATCTTTGCTGACAGCACGGGCTATGCAGCCAAAGCAGGATTTGGCAGGTGGGCAAACCCTAAGCTCAGGTGTAGTGGGACAGCAGGGGCCCAACTACATTTACAGTATACAGGGCCATGTTACACGATCCTTTATGGCTGCTTTCCAACCCATAGCCAGTATAAAGGTTATTAAAGAATACAATCAGCTTAAATTTAAAGTGAGGAATCTGTCTAGAAGCAAGCGATTTTACTTAAAAGCCATATTGAAATGCATCTGAACACAAATATTTGCATTTATTTTGAAGCATTAACTAAATTAACTTTTATTTTAAAGAGAAAAAGACCCCCCCGAAAACTTCTCGTACAGAATATACAGTCAAATGTCACAAAAAAATGATTCAAAAGTTTCCTGCATCCAAATAAGGTTTAGTAGCAGTATCTTTCTATCTACATTTCATTCCAGTATTTAATGCCGTCTCTCTCTTTTTTAATGTCTCTGCTGCTACCCAGGACCTACTCTGGCAGTGACCACTGCACCAGAAATTCCACAGTCTGCACTTTACCGGCAACAGTCATCAAACTGAGCCACAACACTGCAAGCCTGTGCTTACTGTCTAGTATGAAATTATTGTCAAATTAGTTATTATCATTTAATTTACTTAAAAAATGAATTAAAACATTTCATGTAAACTTTAAATTTGCTCAGCCTTTACCTTAGAGAAGAGTCTCATCTTCCTCATATGTCCTCTTTTTCTTATATTTTTCTTTATATCAGAGACTGAAATTATCACACATTGTACTGTACACTGTACAGCACATAACTAAAAACTTTATGTGTCATATATATTGAACTGTTGGGGAAAAACGTTACTCCAGCTATGCTCACTCCTTTTCTGTAGAGCTAGCTAGAAGCTGAAGTACTGCAAGCACAACTTTGCATCTGAACTATGAACGTATCATAGGTATGAGGAAAAAGTATGTATGCAGGCAGGATCATGTGCTGACTTAATTGTCTCTGTGGCATCATCTAAAAGGCCCATCAGACTGCAGCTCATAAAAATGTCAACCCCTGGCTCTATGAATCACACAAAAGCTGTATTATAGATGCTTTTTTTCTTTCTTTATTCTTTCTTTCTTTTTTTTAGAATTTCGT